GTAGCCACCAATGGGAGGACATTTGATGGCAACTTGACAGGAAGGGTATGGCAAGAAGAAGTAAAGGAACGAATAACAGGAAGAGAGGTGGAGGGTCCATGGGGTTGAGGAATGGGCATGGAATCACGAGTTTTGGAGGGAGACATGAAACCACGAAGGAATGGAAGGACTGGCCTCAGCCCAAATCTCAAAGGTGTTAGGAGCACCAACAAAAGTTTAAGGCAAAAAAAAGGAGCCAGATGGAGGTAAGAATGGGAACATGAATGAGGAGCCAAGTAAGCAGAAGAAGAAATCCAGGCCAAGGTATTGAAAAATACCAACTGTAGATCTCCTGAGTAAAAAAAGGCAATAATGGGAAAACTGATCATTAGAGAGAGTTGGTGGACACAGGAGGTCAGCTCCCTCAAGCAGGTATAGGAACTCCAGGGATTGGGAATCCAAGAATGGAAAAAGAGAACTGCCATAAGCCATGACAAAGGAAACCTAGAGTGAAGGAGGAGGAAGCATTTGAGAATGTGGACAAAGGAGATCGAGGGTTGTATGTCAGCATGTACAGGTATATCTGGAAAAGGATGAGAAACTAAATAATCCTCAGCATAAAAGTCATGTAGTAAGGAACGGGAAGAATCAAAACACATAGGAGGAATGGAAAGTAAACAACAAACCTAAGTAATCAAATCTGCAAAGTTTTCTACAGGTAAAGGGGAGATTAGTGAAAACCTTGGAGGTGGGAAGAGTAAAAAAATCATCTTAATGGTCAGGTTCAAAAAGAACCCAACAACAAGGACATAGGGACAGGGAGATGAGATAATGAGGGGATTAATGAATCCACAATATGTTGAACAACGGCAGCAACATACTCCACAACCAATGAATCTCCAATGTTCACAGACAAATTAAGGTCAGTGTTAGCAACATAATCAGAACCTCAGGAGGAGGTAGTAGTCACCATCAATTGAGAATTAAATGTTATTAAAGGAATTCTCCAGATTAATTTTGTTTATTTTTGCACAAAGATTGAAAAGTGATGTAGGTTAAAATCAAATTTGAAACCAAATAAAATGCACTAAATGAAAGTTAACACTGGATTAGAAGCAACACAAATCTCACTATGCTGAAAAATGTTTAAACATCAATAAATATGTCCATTCATGACAGAGCCATTGAAAAGAGTGAAGTTAATTTCTAGTGCAATTATTTATGGGAATCTACTGCACAGTCGCCTTGTCACTGGTGGAGGATTACTGTTATAAGATCATCACATCACACACTAATGTAGTTCATGTTAAAACATGTGTCTTAGGTGGGAGATAGCTCAGGGCTAGTGGCATGTGCAAAATCTCAAAGGCAGACATACGAGGAATAGCTACTGTGTGAAAAGGGGAGAACATCATTTCAGAAAATATAGGAACAGGATTACTTCAACTGCAATACTGGAATTTCATAAAAAAGAAAAAGCATTGTGTAGTTCTAGGATATAATCCATAGTAACTTACATATGATCCATTAGCATAACAAGCATATCCTTACACAAATATTGCCCTGGTAAGAAATGGTAAATGAGATAATAAAAAATGTGCAAAATCTTCCCAAACTGAAAGCCTAAAAATGAAAAGACCAAAAGGACCCAGGATGTATGCAAGGATGAAGTTTTATACTTATGAATTTCATAAATTTACAGGAAAATATTACTTAGCTTTTTCCACACGGGTCATGGGTCAAAGACCATGTCATCGCATTTGTTGACTCGCATTCAAAATGTTATTGAACTACGATTTTATGTATTTATGTCATTAAGTTTCGTATCAAACTGTATATTATAATTCAAATTTTAGTATTATACATTATTTAATTTCTTAATTTAAAAGTAAATATTAAAAAACACACCTGAAAATCGATATTTGTGTGTCACGTGGCATGTTGAATGCAGCACTGGTTCAAATTTCATATTTGTGATGTCAAAATACAAATTCTATAGTTTTGTACAAATTAAAAACTCAAATTACTGATAATGACAAGCTATAATATAAAATAAGAACCTCCTATCTTTTCTTTTTGCTGAGTTCTCACTCATTACTGAATCAAATACAGTGGGTGGCTCACCTCATTCCATTTTTGGAAACAGTCCCTTTTATACACTTACTTCTATATAGGACTTTTGAATAACCAATCGAAAGTTCAGAATGTCCCCCTAGTGGCTTTCTCAGCCATTTTCATGTGTTAGGATGCCATCTCGTTCTTATGAACCAAGATTTCAAGGAAGGAGGTTGTGTCTTTAGTCTACTCAAAATTTAATATTTTTTAGACCTAAATATAGCCTTGTTACTAAAATCGATAAATTATGATTGAGTTCTATGGTACTGATACAGTAATTTATGATTTTTTGGTTATTCAAATGTATATATAAAACCTAAAAAACATTATTTCGTTTCATAACCTACAACAAGCAGTAAACAAGTATGAAGGTTAGAACTAGAAGAGATAATTGTTTGTTTTACTTTTTTTATTTACTGTTCTATTTTTTAAGAAAAATAAGTTTAAGTAGTTATTTGTAAATGGTAATAATCTATATACATATATAATACATAATAATTGAAATGTGACTGTATTTTACAAAATACTAGTCCACTAAAACACAACCAAGACAGGTCACTTTGTAGAGACTAAAGGTCAGTTTTATATTATTGGATATGGTAACATGAGTATGGTAACATCTGTATCGTTAGCCAGGCACGGCTGAAAGATCAATATAATAAAAATAATAAATATACATAAATGTATAATGTTATGAGAGTTAAGCTATTTAGTCTAAACATTTATGTTTTCATGTTATAATTTGTAATCATTCTAGAACAAAAAAAGGCATAATTTATATTTATTTCCTTTTTTTTTTATGGTGGTTACAAGATTGGTCAAATTGACTAAACCCATACAGATATTCATTAGTGAAAATAACAGATAAAATATAAAGTTTTTCCTTAAAAAATATTTGATAACTATCTGGACATTATAAAGATTTTGCATGTGAAATCTGAAAATTTTCTGATGCATAAAGTATTTTTAACCTTAGAATAAAAATTACTTTGCATGTTGGATAGGCAACATGTGAAAAGAAAAACACTGCATGAGAAAAGCATTGCTTTAGAAAAAATTAAAGTTAAATATCTTACATATTTATAAGACCTTTCATCTCAAATTTAAAAGAATTTCATCCACTAGTTTCATTTTTGTAAGGAACTTTCATGAGAGTTACATATTTACTTAGAATGTCAGTAGGTCATAGTCAATACTTTAACAAAACCCTAGGAAATGAGTCCTGGAATTTGAAGGTGGACTGTCTAACATCAGATTAAAATTTATATCAAGACCAACAAAGAAGCAGCTTCAAAATCCTCATCAACAAGAAGATTACAAGGATTGCACTAGTCAGATATAACTTATTACTAAAAAGCATATTTAAAACTACAAAGAATTAAATGTCAATGAAAAACTTCAGACAAGGACTAAACATCTGCAACTAGAACTTAAATAATTCCACCAATTAAGAAGATTAAGAGTCTGTAAATATCTGATCAGTCCCAGAAATGAATGTTACATGAAACTTCAAAAATAAATTTTGATAGCATAAGGTGAGTGGTAGAGACCAATGATAACATAACCATCCCTACTTTAAAATGGCAAAAATATTAGCAAATAAACACACAAACAGGTAATAACAGTTCCAAAAAAGTATAAAAAAATTAAAAATACAATTGCTTTTCTTAATCCCCTAGGTAAATCCTAAGTAAAAGCTTTGGTGAAAAATATATGTGACTAAAGCTAATAACAGTTCTCAGCTATTATTCTGAAATGCTATTACAGTTGAGTTAGTAGTTAACCTTACATTATTGATTTGTTTTTATGCTGTTTACAACTGATGGGGTCCACATATTGCATTGTATTGAAAATTTCTGTTTTGCTTATTAAAACATTCAGTGTAAAGAACTCATAAACAAACAGTTGAACTCCAGCAGTAACTAGTGGAATTAGTTGCAATATTGGTGACATTTTTTTCATTTCTCTGTGTAAGTCGAATGTTACTAGGGGTCATGCAACAATAAAACCTGGATTGGAATGAATAAATTTTAATAAGAAATATATTCCATTCTGCATGTACATTTTGCATGACAACATAAGCACTGCATATTAGTGGAAAGGCATCTTGAAAATGAGGAAAATTATTCAGGATTGAAAGTATCTCGTATGAGGATGCAAGATGCCATAGAATAATAGAATTTAATACATCAGCTTGTCAAACCTTATTTTCTATTTAAACTTAAAATACAAATCACATTTCAGTCTTGCTCTTACAGATGATGTATTAATTTTCTTTCTAAGTGAAGTATATTTTTGTAATACAGTACTTGAAATAGGTGGAACAGTGGGCTATCTACTGCTCTGAGGATTATAGCTGCACAATTAACTTAATTAACTGATAACCAATGAGCACTTTTTACATCGATAAGTGTCTAATATAATCCATTAATCAAAATTATAATCCAACTGATGTCACAAAAAAATTCAACTAATCAAAATTATTATTTTTGATAGTTCATGCTTTCAATTATTTTAACTATCCAAGTAACTGAAGTAATGCCATTATGATTTTTCATTAATTCTAGGTTTTTCAGTTTAATAGATCAATGTTATGAGTCACCAAAGTAATAGTGTTTTCAGTTATTAGTATTTTTGAACATTACAACTATCAAAGTCTCAGTAAGAATAATTGATAAGTTGAATGTAATTGATTAATGGGCTCAATTAGCAAATTTCACTAATTGCTCAGCTTTATTCAGGATTATTGGGATATCTACTACTTTTAGAAGGCTAGTGGACTATAATGTTTTAAGGGTCAGTGGGCTATCTATTGATTTTATGGTTAGGAACTAGAAAATGAAAAGATTAATAAAACGTACTTAATTTTGTCATGCATGCCTTAATTATAAAAAAAAAATACAAACCTATAACACTCTTCTCAGGCGCTGGAGGTACCATTCGACCCAAGCGAAGATGTTTGCCCATTAATTTATCATGCAAGCCAAGAAAGTCACTGAATCTTCGATGGACCACTAGATTTTTGTGCTTGAAATAGGGTAGATTAGTTTTAGTGACCACCTTGTATCTCATGTATGCACCCATACCATCACCAACTCTCTGAGGCTCTTTTACGATGATTTTTAGAAACTGGTTACTGTTCTCTTCTTCAATAAGCTGTAAGATTTATAAGTCTTTCATGTGTACTTTAAGAACACTTCACTATTATTGTAATGCTAAATTCAGTGCTGTCACATTTTATTATCAAGAAAAAGTACTCCAAATGTTAAAAAAATTAAATCAAACCCCAAAAAAGAAAAAGCATAAGACGTGCATCAACTTACCACATATCCAACTGTTGTAAAATGAACTGTTATCATTAGAATAATTTGTCTATGTGAAATTGACTGTGAATTGTCAGTTGGTATCAAACAAATGTAGGTACTTCACTTTACACAACCCTCAACCAAATTCTACATACTCATTGGAATAACACTAGTTACTAATAATTATTATTACAGAGGATCCCCGTTATATATTGTGATGCGTTCCTGGAAAGTGGACGTATGTCTGAAACAACATTAAGCAACACAATTTTTACAAGTATTTTGGTGGAATGCATTTCTGAAAAACTTCGGTCCACTGTTGAATACCTTTTTAAATGGTGTAACACGTCAAAGTACACAGCCCGTTCACCTGCCTCAAAGCATCGTAAAATCTCCGGTTTAGCACCAAATTATATTTTTTTCCTAGGCTTCTTGGCAAGAGGCACTTTACTATTACTATTATAGGTGACTGCTTTGAAGCCATATTGGAAGAGTGGAAACTAGGCTTCGCTGAAACAGAAAAAACAATGTGCTAAAACAATGGCATGAGAACACAATGTGTTCACATTCTCCACCATCTTGGCCAGTGGAGGATATATCACATTCCACCCAGTAAATTAGTTTGACAACATTGGTATGTTCTAGTAATGGAACACAACAACATTACTTCACACACGTATTGATAGTACAGTAATTGGTGAACACTATGCCTGATAAAATAGCCTGACAATCAAACATAATGTTGGTGTGAATGTGTTTAGACTTCGAGATTAAACAATTTTTCGGATTACTAAGTTTATTTATTATAGCCTGACAATGTTTTAACACTAGTAATGAAACAAGGCATCACTGTTTAAAAAATATTGGTAGTAACTGGTAAACACTATACCAGGAAAAGTGCTTGATGACATAAGAACACTCTAGTAGCAAAACAAAGCAATGTTGTTTGATACATTTGTAGTAATTAGTGAACACTTTAATAATAAAAGAATGCAGAGTGATGCAATGTATAACAGGGACCCAGTGAACAATAAATACTTAAAACAGGATTATTACCAATATATATATATATATATATATCATAAAATCAAAGGTTGGGTAAGTATGGTGACAAAATATAGATAAAGAAAGTATAAAACATTAAAAAGGTACAAAAAGGTATCATATTTCTAAAAAAGTATGAAGTGGCAGCACTGTACATTGATATAAGATATATTAACCTCATTGTTTTCAATTTAGAAAAATAAAGGGTATATTGCAAATAACATCTCTGATTACTCTTCCTAAACAAGGTTAAAGTTCTATGAATAATTAAATGCTATAAAATTACCATTTAGGTTGAAAGTTGGCAAAATACTTTTTTTTTCAACACTGGCAAAAAAAAAGCAGTAAACAAACCTCATCTGGAGTTTTTCCAGCAGCAGATATTGGGGGTTCAGTTGGTGTTATTTCTGCAGGAGCCGAAGGCTCTGAAATTTTATTTTCATAAAAAGGTTCCAAGAAAGGAGACTTAGCTTCTTCTTCTGGTGTACAGAATTCAAGCTTTGTCTGAGGAGTGACTGATGAAGCATCATCATCAAGACAAACCTCTTCTCCACCTCCTACAAAATACAGATTTTACTAAAATACTTACAATTAACCATCAACAGACAGCCTTCAGAGCATGTTACAGCATAAAGCACTTGAGATATGAAAGGAAATTTCAAAATTGCAAAGGAATTTGTTTACAATTACATGCTCACAAAAGGGGATGCACTAAATTCATGTGTTTGGTGGAAAGTAATACATTTGTGAGCAATGAAAATTGCACTATGCCTGGAATGATTTACAATTCTAGAAGAAAAGTGAATCAGCATGTTTATTGTTGTTTCAGAAGTAATACTGAAATTGGCAGCACTTGATTTTTTACAGGTGTATACATAACTGCTTTGATTAAGCTTTATATTCTGATATTATGAAAGGTAAAAAACTGGCTAAACATTATTTTAGTTATTAATAGTATTAGTTTTTGTGAAGTGCTTATACTTGCTAAAAGACACAGTAATACAGTTAATAATATTATCCTAAATAAAGCCAAAGACTTCATTACTTAGTCAATGTTGCAATTGTCATTAGTAGTGAATTATAAATGACATAAAAGTGAATTTAGTAACTACATCTATTCACAAGAAAAAGAAATATTTAGCATAACAATGCAAAACAATTGTTAGCTTTTAACACACAATAACAATGATCTTATCACACTTAAATATGTTACTATTGCTTTTAATATATGAAATTTAAGTTACAAAATTACATATCACATACTACAAATACATGTATCACTCATTTTTATCAACTGATCATTCACATCATCTTCAATTGAAGTTTTCTTACACACATAATTTTGCAGCAAGCACAGGTGTCTTAAGAAGGATAAATCCCAGTTAATTTTCATGGTCTAGTGAGTTAGACTGATTAGCGTGCTCTGTCCAAGTTACACAGCATAAACTTTTTAAATAAATGTAAAATGCACTGTAAATTGCAGTGATGCTTTTTATAACAAACATATTTGAATGCATGAAAATGAACTGATGAATATTATACATACAGTTCTATATTAATATTTATAATATTTTGAATCTATTAATTACAAAAAAACAATAATTCGACCAAATTTGGGATTGCACCTGAAATAACAGCAGAATGCCATGAGATTCAAAAAACAATACATGATTCAAATTTATATTTTTGTCATGTTTCACACACAAATTAAAATAATGTCTGATCTACCACTTAATGTTTTTGCACATGGAACAGGAATTAAAAAGGAAACAAAAGTTTCTACATCTTGCAAATTATTTACACAATTCATAATTGTTCATAAAACTCTCTCTCTCTATATATATACAAATTTTGTACATAATTTAGCCCAAGGTGTTATTTTTTATACAATGAACAGTTAAGATGGTATCTGCTGTTTCACAAGGGAGCTTTCTTGCCTTGTATGTAAGATTATTTTGCAACTGTCACATTATGATTGCTTAGCTATAAAGAATGTGAATTGTAAGGATGGTTTTGGCACCCTTGGAACATTTCAACTATGAAGAAACAGAGACGTGGTCAATATCTTTCTTTGTTCGAACAAGTAATTCTTCTATTAACCTTATGTGTGGTTTAACCTCTCACTCAAAAATTCACCATATTTCAGTTCTAAATAGGAATTTTATTTTTCTGTTTTATTTCACTAAATCCATTTTATATCTTCATTAAATTTCAGTTAAGTTCTAACGAGTTTCTTTACCTTCAGTTCAAAAATTCCCACCATTTGTCACAATCAGTCTTTATTTCTGGTATTATTATGCATTGGCTAACAGATTTCAACAAAAAACCTTCTATAACATTAAAGTAACTTATAAGCTGAGCCTCCTTGGTTTATTCAAAGCCGCAGTCTGTAAATGTGCAAGCTTTCTTTTATTGAATCAATGGCATGTGCTGAGGCCTTAAAATCATTTGAATGTACAGCAATATCACATTCCCATAGGGCATGTTCAATTAGTCAGGATCTCAAATTTGCAAGTTTTTGCACAAGGGTTAACTATTCTTTTAGTAGACCCAAAACAGCCTTGCTGATAGCATACACAAGTAAATCTATAAGCTACATTTGATGACTTTAATGCAAGAATATGATAAATAGAGCTGGATAATTAACTCAATTAATCAATATAGTCACATTAATTGGTGTTATGTAAAATAACCAGTTACTAGAAATTATAATTAAATCAACTAATGTCAACAAAATCCTCAACTTACTGAAATTAGTTTTTTTCCAATTATTACTGCTTTTGATTATTTCAACTATCCAAGTAATTGAAATACTGCCATTATGGTTTATCATTATTGCTTTCAGTTACGTTTGTACAGCTTATTGATTAGTGTTATGATTCACAAAAATAATCAGTTAATCAGAATTAGTTACAAATTATTAGAGTTTTTGATTTTTCTTATTTGATTATTCATGTTGTCATTATGATTTCTTCTTATTTTTTTAGATTCATTCAAATTTATTCAGCTTCAAGCCAGCAAGGCTTGATGATTGGGGGGGGGGGGGGGGTGTCAGAGATGAACTGTCTCTCTTCACCACCTGGGGATGCTAAGCCTTCCCAAGCCAATTATATGAGCAGCTGCTATGTTAATCTACCTTAAAAATTCACAAGTGAAAAACAAATATTTCTAAAACTTTTTAAGTATAACAGTTACACACAAAACTAAATTAAAAACAAACTCATAGAGTTCAAGTAGCATTTTTCAACTAATGTTTTGAAAATTTTGAGAAAAGCTTTATCTCAGTCTGTTTTATAGCATAAGTAACAGATATTAACATATTTGGTAAGCCTATCATTATAAAGGTATCATCTTACCTTTCATCAAATTTGCTAGGTTATCATCACTTCTAGGTTGATCATAATTATTCAAGAGAGTGGTTGTATTTTCAAAAGACTGGGACTATAAGTAAAAGATATAAAAAAAAACACCAAGCATTAATAATTAAGTAAATATAATAAAAACAACAAAACTCTGAAGATATCTTGTGGAAATAGTAATTTATAAACAAACATTTTAAGACGGGATAAAAACATCATTTGTATAATTAAGGATGGCACCAAAAAAAAAACAACTGAAAGTTTACACTTACGTGAAGCTCACTCATTTCCATAAGGAAGTCAGAGGACATTTCAAGGAATAAGGAATTGGTCATATTATGTGAAGCAAACAAATAGTTTCTTTTTTTTTGTAAGTTATATTTTTTAGCATGAGGAATATTTTGTATTTTTGGCTTGGTATATGCATATAAGACCAACCAGCATCTTCTAAGCTGGATGAAGCTTGCAAGATATTGGGATTTCAGCCAAAAATACTGCTAAAAAAGAGGGTACAGAGCTGGTAGATTAGTGAATCCTAATCATTATAACTAGGAATGTATAGTAAATTAGCTATGTTCACTACTAGGTTAATTTTTAATTTCATACTATGTAGGACAAAATGCCAGAAAAGGAACTTTTATATTTATTTATAATTTAGTTGGCATACGTTATTGAAAAATGTAGTGACTAAAGAAAACTAAACTGCAATTACGTAGATGGAATAAAAGTGCAACAAGGACAAAAGTATATAACATTAAAATAAGAAAGACGGACAGTCAAGTAAGGCAACTAGAAACCCAAAAAGCACAGGATAAAACATGTCTGAACACAGGCAGTGTTGAGGAAAGAATGAGTCTATAATAATGTGCTACTGCCTACAAGGTTCACTACACGTGGAGATGGTGTTACCCTCCTATTGGTGAAGGGCTACAGCATTATGACGATTATATCATAGTTTGGTGCAATACACATAGACATATGTAAGGGTGGAAGTTTGTTGAAGGCTTGTGGCATGTGCAGGAAATTCCACAGCAAATGAGCACAAGGTAATAGCTCTCTGCAGAGAGATAAGCATTGTATCTGAAATATCATGCCTATCAAATTATAATGTCAATGTGATCAAATATAAACTAAATTATAACATACTAGACTATATGTACATTAGGGATCTAGGATGATCATGAACACACCTGATTTCCTATACCAAAAAATGTATTTTCAATAATATTTACCTCCTCTCACACTTTAGCTTTATCCTGATAAAAGGTTCTCTTCTTTGCCTGTCTATGCAATGGTATGAAATCTACCTTACTTGCTCCAGTCTTTATACCCCACTATATCGCCCCTTGTGATTTTAATCTTGTGACTCTTTCCACCTACATAAATGCATTCTCTTTACCTGATCTGTATATAAGCTCCCCATTATTTTTTCTTTTTCACTTTTTGGGACTGGCAAGATTATCAGACCCAAACACTGGCTATCGTGGGAATGATGGGAGGTAAGTATTATTGGAAATATATTTTCAATATAGGAAAATGTAAACTTACAAAACACACTTACCTCCATTTTTGCTTTAGCTAAAATTCCACACTCACCAGGTAGAGAGGCCGGTGAGGGCAAGATCCACACAGAAACCATATGCGTAAAAAAACTGGTGCGCAAAAATGAGATATAATAAAGCACACTAACGGGGGTCCACACTACTTCTAGAATTAGATATGTTCTTCACCCAGAGAAAGCAAAATCTAAATGTGGGTAGTAAAAGCCAACCAGCTACAGAGTCAATATTGTTCGCTGTCACAATATTTTTCCAGGCCCCAACCATACAGACAAGGTTCCACACCTCATCATTGAAATTATAGGGCTGTGGACACAAAGCTAGATCCAAGGTGCAGTGGCTAGGGCATTGGGACCACAATATGATATAATTGCATAATAGGAATATGATATGAAGGGAACCCAACCTGAAAGTTACAGAATGTTGCATGTCGAGTCATTGGAATTATGAAGAAAAGAAAAGCAACACCTAAGTGTACAAACCCTCACTCCAACCTGAAGAAGCACAATATGCAACAAACTGAACTCAGAATTATGGGCCCAGGCACCCAACCTCAAAGTTACCAAATGTCACATGTGAGACACTGGAATTATGAAGGGAAGGCTAGCAAAACCCAACTGAACAAGTCTTCTCCCCAACTTGAAGAAGCACAGATTGTAACAAACCAAACTCGGAATTAGGAAGTCGATTCACGTTTCACTCAACATGAAAAAACGGAAATCATCCTACTTGGGATTACAAACCGAATTCCTTGTCTCCTAAACCTGGGTGGCAAGGCAAAACCTCCTGCACCCAGATTTATGAGGAGAATGTGGAACAAACAAAATTCAACCAATGGCTCACAGATGTGATGCTCTGCATGCAGAATTACTAGGAGTCGGGCCCCTCTTCCATGATCTTGGAAAGTAAGAGAATGACGAAAAGAAAGGCAACTCTCACACAACTGGATTGTAAAGTGTCATTTCTGAACAGGAATTATGAGGAGGCTACTGTGTAAGCTGGACTGGCTTCCCACCCAATATCTGGGAAATCCATCCAGCTTTGCCCTCTTTTCTTTGATTGGAATAAAGAGTACAAATATCACTCTGTCCACCACTCCAGCGACTGGAAACTGAGAGTAGTAAGGACACTTGCTCCACTAGAAGAGGGGGGGGGCATTAGGGAGTCCTGAGAAATGATGCTCCAGAGACAGTGCAATAGGTAAACAGTGTTCCCTATTTTGAAAAGCAAACCAATCCCAATTTGTTCAATTCAGGGGTTAGCAGGGATGGGTCAAGTCCCTTTATGATTTTATTCATGACATTCCATGAATGGTGGTCAAGTATTGTATATTATATTTAATATAGAACAAATGTTCTCCACCTGGAAAGCACCAAGGCAGTCTTATGGAACACCTCATCTCAACAGAGCTCATTGTGACCAGGAATTTAATTATTAGTCTACTTATAGCTAGTGCAGATTTGTAAAAGCATATCTGACCAGGCAACATTTGCCACAGAGTGGGATCCAAATGAGAAGGATGAGAAGGTCCCTGAAAAGGAATAGATTAGCACAAAAGAAATGAAGTTACTCATATTTTCACAATTGAGTCTGGCATGTAGAATAGTCATGGGGGAGGGGGGTAGTCAAAACCCATCCAAGGAGGAGAATGCTAAATCATGTAGATAGTGTGATATAAAGGTGTGGTCATAAAACCAGCCTGTACAATTTCTTTCAGCAGGCAATACAACCAAGTTGCCAAGGACATTGATGTATATTGAACTTGATGAGATGAGACCCTAAAAAGTCTCTGCTCCTATCTGAACCAAAATACGAGTCCAACTTGTCAAAGTGACAGAGAATAAGTGATGTGATATCGAAGGATCTCAATGGGTCCAGTGATGTGAGCCCCAATATGCTTCAATGCATGCCACATAATCTCGGAGAACCCAAATAGAGCATAAAAGATTTGGATCAGAATGGTCGTATAAATAGGAAATGGAAAGAAGATTAATAGGAGAGAAAACCTTATCTCTTTCCCTAGCTGCTGTAGTTTTAGGTAGAGAAGACCTGTCTACATATAACAGAACATAGTTGGAATGATACAGTGTCCTGTAAACATAAAGTGCAAACACATCTGAATGCTGATGCCCACTAGCAAATAACAGAAAAAAAAAGTTTTATGTGAAAGATGATATAGTGAAAATGACCTCAAAGGTTCAAAAGGTGGACATGATACTGCATGGAGAACCACTGTGATATCCCAATTAGGAACCAGGAAAGGGCGATGAAGACAAATAACCTGAAATGATTTCAAAAGTAATGACAAAACTAGGGACTTAAATAACTTTTCTTCTCTTAGTAAAATAAAAAGTAGCTGATAATGCAGCCATATACAAGGCAACAGATGAGAGTGCCAAATCTTTGTCAAACAACCATGTCAAAATTGAGACGTGGCACAGTGGGAAGTGAAGGGTTAAATCCATGTCTGACGAAAAGTAAACCATTTGCTTTGATAAACTTCAAAGAAGAATGTTGAATGGAATGTGTTAATAAGGATGAGACTTGAGACATCAACCCTGATGTTGTGCTATGGACTGCATAAAGCCAGGCATGAAGTCAAAGAATGTCAACTGCTGGATGAAAAATGCATGACTGAGGCTAACGTAAGAGAGATGGCCATGGAGGAAGGGGTTGACATTCATGAAGATACTGGAGGAGTGGAAACCAGGTATGACTTGCCCAATATGATGCCACCAGAAGAACTCAACAAGACATGGAGTGAATCAGTGCCAAAACCTTGGAGAGCAAATGAATTGGAGGGAATGCATAAAGATGAAGACCCATCCAATCCTGGCTGAGAGCATCTACTCCCAAAGCCAGAATGTGAGGTACTGGAGACCAGAAGGATGAGAGCTAAGCATTCCAGTGTGTGTGGTGAAAACATCGATCTGTGGTGTCCCTAGATAAGAAAAGATCCAACAAAAAACTTGAGGATGATGCATCCATTACTTAGGAAGAGCTCTGTTGGGATGAGATAACTGGTACACCACCAGATTCATTACTCCTGGAACATGACAAACAAGGAGAACAATCTCAGGTTTGTGTGTCCAAAAGAGAAGATCTACTGTTTGATAACAGAGAGAGTCCCTCCTTGCTTTGAAATGAACAACACTGCTGTGGAATTGTCCGAATGAAGCATTACCACCTTCCCTCGCAACAAATCAAGACCCTGAGATTGATTTGGAGAGAAGCATCCTCTACTGTCCAAAACCCCTTGAATTCCATATTTTCTATACAAGCACCCCAGCCCTGAAGAAAGGCATTTGTGAACAGATATGTCTCTGGTCATGGAGGTGGTAGAGGGACATCTTCTGTTGTGTTGTCCATGTTCAACCACCAACTGAGATCCAGCAAACTGGAATCTGACACACTCACTGTACAACCCAGCACAAATGTTCCACTGGTTCCGTAATGACCACTGAAGAGCCCTCATGTGGGCTCAACATAAAGGAAGGAGGGAATCTAAAGATTCTCACATTTT